CTTGCTGGAAACTGAGACCACCCACTCTTTGATCTGTTTTCTGGATCCTACATGGCTCTTCCTACTATTTCTGTGTATCTATTTCATCCCTTTATTCTCTGCAGGGTTTTTTTTTTCTTTTTTTCGTCTCTGCATGCACCCCAAAGCTCCATAGTTTATGCATTTTATTACTAGCTCCATGCAGAGACCAATTCCAAATTAATGGACAGGAGAAACAGAGGGGGCTAGCTTAAGGCAGGAGCCATCTCTGTTTCAATCATTTCTGACCAGGGGTGCAGGGTCTTGTGGTGCAAGTATGGCTGTATGCCAAATCTATTGTTCTCAGGGAAATCATTATGGATAGAGCATAAACTTTAAAGTTAATCAATTGCATCAAATGGTCAGTGTTAGGATGGCCTTTGCCATATGTTAGGGTGGCCTTGGTTGTGGGCTGTGAAAGAATTGACAAACTCAGAAAGAAAGTGGATAGAATTTATTCATTTTCACATAGTGGAAAGGGGCTGGATGCAGAGTTGTATCAGCCCCCAAGGGTGGGGACCAGGAGCATTTACTGGGACTTAAGGAAAGAGGGGCTATGATTGAGTAATGAGAGTATCTTGGGACAGGACATCTGTTGGTCCTTGAGTTGTTTTGTTATCTCTGGATGTTGTATCTGGCTGCTGTTGTCTACTATTATTCTGTCCTTAGTTTTGGTGCCAACCATTGACAGATGTTACAATCTTTATGTTTGAAGGCAAGAACTTCGGAAATACAAGGCCAGCCATCTGTGATAAAGTCAAGGAAGGATCAACCAACTTGGGAAGAAAAAAGGAGGAGAAAGAACGTCTGAAGAGCCTGGAAGTCTTATATGGGCCTTTTCAATTAAAATAGCTAAGGTGCCAGGGAGACACTGAGTTAACCCTTTTTCATCCCTAAGGCACTTAGGGAGCATTTAACCATTTCAGTCAGCATTCTACTCTATCTCATACCAGCGCAATCTTCCAGCATGCAGTTATGATGGCAGTGCTTGGAAGATCCAACTGTTTGATTTCTTTTTCCCTAAGATAATCTTCCCCAATCTTTATTCTGACTTCAACTTTGTATTTCCATAAATTGTAAACAATTCTAAAAACGCTTCAGCTCCAAAACAGATATGATACAAACTACAGTATATAAATGCATGGAATTTATCCATATTTATACTTACAAGTAAAAATCCAGCCCACCTTTAGGAAAACAGTTATCTTTCATGGTTTTTTCTCCTCCAAGTGGCACATTAGTCAAACAAGCCCAACTGAAGCCAAATGGTGTTTTGGTTTGAATGGGCATAAGAAGTCTTCATTGTTAGGGCTGGCAGGTGGCATGGTGGTTGATTCACTGGACGCCTACATGACTACCTGCTGCTTGAGTCCTGGATCCAGTGACTTGCTTTCTCACTTTCCCTCTCTCTTTTTCTCTCTCTGATCAAATTTAAATAATAATAATGGATAAAATTAAGTACTTTTTTTAAAAAAAGTCTTAATTGTTATATTGTCTTTTAGAACATTTCTGGTTCAAAATTGTCACGGGTGAGGCAGGGCACAGAAGGTGGTGTGGTGGTTAAGGTGCTGGACTCCCACATGGTAGACAGTGGTTCGAGTCTTGGAACTGGTAACTTGCTTTCTCACTTTCTTTCCCTGTCTCTGGTAAGAACACATGTCCTACAGCAAATTAAGAGAAGTAATAATAATGATGATAATAGATAAAATTAAATCTTTCTTTTAAAAAAAAACCACTGTTATGCAATCACTGGTGGTTACTGTTTTTTTGGGTCATATTTGAACTTCCTAAAGCTCAAATGCCTGGCTAAATAGAAACTGATAATGTTCATTGACTTCCTGAAACAGATAGGGAAAAATTAGTTTTATGCAAGTCTCAAAAATGGGGAAAAGTAACAAAGTATTCTGTACCTTGAACATGGAATAGAAAGATATGTACTAAATATTGATTCTTTTTTTAAGGTTTTCACCATAGGGCATGTGCACTCACACGCATGTGTGTGTCAACAGAGGCAATGAGAGGGAAAGTGAGAAATCATCCCACAGGGGGAGAGAGCCACACTGTAATCCCTTCTCCTCCATTTTCCTCTCAGTATTTTGGGCATGCATGCATGCATATGCACTAGGCATGAGTTTCGAGCTGCCAGGTCTGGGACTTGGAGCATGGTTGGTCATGTGGGAGTCGAGTCCAGCACCTTAACCACTACATGACCTGCTGACCTCACAAGGAAAACTTTAAAAAATTGTTTTAAACCTCAACAGGAGACACATCTCTTAAAATTATTTAAACAGTGAGTTAAATTGTTAAGGTTCAAATGAAGAAACATCCCCTGGGGGATGATTTCTCACTTTCCCTCACTCCAACGAGCACACTCACCCTATAGCAAAAAATCTCTCTCAAAGAAAAAAATGTTTTCCTTGTGAACTATGGTTTTATTTTAAAATGATATAGGCTGCTGGCTGCTGTAGACATCACTGATATTCATTTTATTTTATATTTATAATAAATTTAAAGCAAACCAAGGGGCCAGTTTTCAGTAGTATCACCTCATACATGTAGTATCATCTCATACATGTAGTATTTAACTAAATGCCTGGATACCTCTATCTACAGTATAAGAAATATCAGTACCTTCAGCTCACCCATTGACACATCTTCATCCATGTGAAAATTAGCATACACACACACACACACACATATATATCACATATATATATATGTACATATATATATATTTAAAATACAATTTTCTTCATTAATCCTCGTCACATGCAAAAACTAAAGTATTCAAGCTTTCTGGTAGTTTGATGACATGATTTTCCAGTACTTGTTCCAAGTTTCTTTTATAATCGTTTTTTCTATGAAGTCATTCAACTTGGAAATAATTGCTTGCCAAAATTGAGTTTCTCTGGTGAACCACTCAACACAGCTTTAGTTTTACAAAGAACACCATTCTTTGTGTGCTGTTAATCTTGGCTTAGAAACTCCACATATTATCCTTCTCAATTGAACAGTTCAGCTCCTGTTTTCTTAGTTATACTTTGGAACCAACAGACTTACTTCTGGAATATAAATGTGAGGGTTACCTAGCTGGTGACTTTTCAAAAACAGTTCATCCAAATACAGATATATGGACCCTCTGACCAGGACAACACTTACTTGTTAGAAATGTGAGGGCTTTGCAAAGAGTTCCCAAAACTGCCTGCCTTATATAAGAAAACTATTGGCATTTTACTATATGAGGTTTTGTTATTTAGTTTGATTTTAACTATTGAGATTAAGTTGCTATGACCCAGTGTCCCAATACTTGACAAAGAAGTTATTCAAATAAATTAGTACTTCCTGTGAAAATACTCCTAAGCAGTTGATTCCAGTTTTTATTTGTTCTTTTCATCCTATCTCATTTAACACTGCACTTCCGAAAAGCTATTAACATCAAGTCACAACATGAAAATTTGATAAATAAATTAATTATTTAAGTGTTCAGTGGCTTAGTCTATAGAATACAAAATAATTCCACTATTTATTTTCTAACCAGAATGACTTAAAAACCATCAAAATGGAACATTGTGTTGACATAGCATGAACCTGACTTAATAAGACAAACTGCTAATAGGCCATATGGCCTTTATGGAAAAGTAAATTGAAATTGCTTTCCCCATTTTATGCTCACAATGAAACCTCTGAAGGAAAAGGATTTTCCCTGTCAAATCCTAGTGATGCTATGTCTCCATGTCTTCCAAATTCAGAGAAACTGGGTCATGGATAATTACCAGGCAAGACATGTTTGTAAAGGTAATTTGCTCATGAGAATTCTGTGTAAAAATGAAAGCACATATACTGAAAATATTATACATCAAATGAATGACGCTACTCTGTCAAATTAGAAGAGTAAGGCTACTGAGAAGGAAAATTTCTAAAACATTAGAAAAACTGTAAAAATGTTAAGAATCCATACTTAAATGTGCATATGTTTGAATATTACAGGCTTACAGATAGTTTGCAGTATTTTCTTTTTAGTAGACAAAATGTACTGTGAACCTCTCAAACTTTGAAGGTTCAGATGAGACATGAAATAATATCTTTAAAACATATATATCTAATTTCAAACTGACCTTATCAACACAAGAAAGGTTGCTCAATTGCATATGGTTCTATTTATTTATATCTTCTAGAAAAATTTCTGGCATACACACAAGTGAATTTTATTGTGTGTCTAATTTAAATTGCTTTCCAAGTATATTCACTATTTAGACACCAGAAGGTGATGATAACTTTTGACATTAATTTCATGAATTTCTTCACACACACATGCACGCACACACATGCAAGCCCATAGCATGCTATTTAGACTGCCTCCCTAATTAAATAGTGACGATAATGCCAGGTAAGCCTGCTTGAACATTGTCTGCAAATACTAAAAACTACATAAAACCCAGAGTATAATGTCAAATTCCTTCACTACTCCTGTTTCTAATTGTGCGATTAGGCAGTAGGAAAAATGGTAGCCTACACTGCGTCTCTATTTTGTGCATTTTAAAACAGAAAGTTGAAAAAGACAGGTAATAGTATTCCTTTCTTTTTATCACTGATTGTTCATATAACTCAGGTGCAGAGGACAGAAAGGATCGTGGGAGAGAACACAAGATAAAAATGTAAAAATCTTTTTTTTTTAAATAAAATGAACACGTTGTATTAAGTTGTGTTTTCTAAATAATGTATATTTTAAAAAAGAAAATGAACTGAAGATGTAATTTAGAAACCCTGTCTAAAAGGCTTAGACAGCAGAGAAGACACGAAGTCAACTCACATCAGTGAAACACTTTTATTTTTATTTTTTCCACATAGATAACTTCATGTCAACTACAAAAATCATTAAATGAAGAACTGATTGCGAAACTGCAAACTCAAAATCACTGGAGTGATAAACAAGTTTCCCCCAGATGACTGTCAAGAAAAATAACCAGGATATAATGAATTCATATTTAAATAGTAAACATGTCATGTATTTAGAAATAATAAATACAGAATAGCAGTAGAGAAACTAATAGCATAAACAGCATGAAGTATATTTATTTTTTTAAGACAGATGAAATTTCTAGGCACAGTTTTAGGCATTAAAGAGGACACAGAGGCATAGGTTAGTGTACGCTGCTCTGTACAAAAATACAGTCTGAATAAATTACAGTGCTAGCCATACAATTAGACGTCACTTACCAGTCAGTTCATTGCATGTTTAATAATATACAGGTACATGCTAATCCATATATATCATTTATATTTCAAACACATAGGTCTCTCTATATTTATGTCTTTAAAATTTACACGTTGAACTTATAAAAAGCTAATAGTTGTGCAAGAAATCCAAATAACTAGCCCTGCTGAGTACTGTATGCTGTGTGTGTGTCTCTCTCTCTCTCTATCTCTCTAAGATAAACAATAGGTCTGTGGTTAACAATTTTGCTTAAGAAAACATCAAACAAACCTAAAGCTGCAAAGCCATAAGATTATGTGGGTGAAAATTTCACTCGTGTCCTGATAAACAAAATAGTATTTTGCATGAACAACAATTTTCAGGTTGTACTGAGCTTGTTATTAATGAAACGCTTCCAAATATTGGTGATAGTAGAAATATAGCATAGAGCTCTTCACTGGGAAAGAAAATGAGTTATATGAGGAATCTACTTTTCAGTAAACTGCAAATATGTGTGCCTCCACCTATAACATATTCTGTCATTTTCCAGCTTGTCACATTGACAGAGAATGAACACTTGATAGGACTCGAGATGTAATATCGGTCTAACAGCACACTGCATCCTCTACTAGGACTGAGAAAAGTGCCTTATTGATGTCAGCACCAAAATACTGCTCTTTCATTATTCAGAAACAGAGATCGTCTCACAATAGATGGTGTTTAGTAGCCAAAATCACTATCCAAATATCGTATTTCTCATGCTGCTCTGACAATATGCAATTAACTGTAAGCCAGGCTGTCCCAGATTTTACTATTTCTCAAGAAAATTGCTTCAAAAGATTCTATAATGTTATATTAATGTCTTTTTGGAAAATTTGGACTCAGAGTTTCTTATGATCCTTTACAGAATCATATACTTGAATAAAGGTTTCTCTCTAGGACGCATTTAATCATATTTGTCTATCATTGCTAAGATCAAAATAAGCCTGGTGCTTCATATTTACTTTGTGATTCTATAGAAAATTCATAAGATGAGTGGATTTTTTTCCCCTTAGCATTGGAATAATAAAATAGTTTTTCTTTCTTTCCCATTTTTTGGCTGATGTTTTTGGCAATTATTTTTAAGACAAGCTGAAAGCAGAACTTCTGCTTTGAGAGGTAAAGCAAATTATTAAATACCATTGATGTGGTCCTGCTCTTAATGGATTTTGTAATGCAATAGCACATAGGTATGTTTTAAATGATTTTTTCCCAAGGCTTCTTTCTGCAAGAGGGCCCAAACCAGAACATACTATTTTAGTGTCATTCTTAACAAAAATAATTATTTATAACTTTTATATTTGTACTGTATATTTGATATAAAAATATGTTTATAATTAAACTCTCCAAATTTGTATATTAAACAGAATTAACACAAGTTTGCAATGTGTGATTAATTGCAAACTTATTCCCTATTATTGGTATTTCTTTCTTTTGAACAGTCAGTAAATGATTTCCTCAACATAAATCTATCATAATTGTGCCCACAAGTCAGTTAGACCATCAGTTAACTTCAGAGGACCAGGTGATAACGAGATGAATTCTACTCCTTTACTGAAACATTTAGACATTTATATAAATCTATCGCTAGTCCTTTTTTTTAAAATGAAGACATTCAAAATACTTGCAAAAAATAGCAGCCTTCTATTTTAATGAATTTTACACAAAACAATTATGCTAAATGCTACTCTCTTTTGAACTACAGTGCTTACAAAAGAATCATTAATTTTCAGATTAACACCATTTCAATTTTTCTTCTTAGGTGATTCTATTTAACACTTTCCAGTGAAACAGTAGAGAACATAGAGCAAAAGCTTTAGGATATATGTACTTTTGTACGGTAAATAAGTGTGAATACCAATCTAAGCCTCTTAACAACGTGTACAAGGTTAAGTGTTCAAACCACTTCACTAGAGCAAATATTAATTTTATGTGTAATAGGCAAACGTATGTGGAGGGTTAGGGAGCAACTTATTACCATTTATACTGATGATTCACCTTCTATAAAAATATTTAAGCTTGTTACATATGCACAATTTTTGCTGCAATGTTTGGTAAATGATTTAAAGGGTACAAAAGCAACTCATGCATATTTCTTTCTGGTTGCCCAAGGGAAAGGAGAGACCTTCGATTTTCCCCCATTTTAGATAGGGCTGAGGCACAATGTCTAACCACGTCAGAAAAAGCAAGTTACCAAGTCTTGACTCCCTTCCCAGGGAGATGCTGATTGCCAAAGCATAACCTCCCATTAAGGAGAGTATTCTTTAAAGTGGAATGTGTACCATTAACCAGTTACATTCACAATTCCCATTAGATGCTGAAGGGCAGTTCACTTTTCAAGAGCTCACTCAAGCAAATAACCAACAGCCAATGTAGTCATTGGTTGGGATAAGCAGGCAATAAGGGCTCTAACAGTGGAATCCTTGTCAGTGCAAAGGAACTTCTAAATGTTGCTTATGCCAGCTGTTCCCCTGCAGGCAATAGGAGATTCAGGCAATCCTCATTCCAACTAGTTTCTCACAATGGTTGCTGTCATATAGACCCTTCACTTGTCAAGAAAAATGACATGAACATATTGAAAGTTTGCAGCATTTGCCTATGTCTAATCAGCTCTCTTAATTTGTGCAGGTCCCTAAAATGGATGTAAAAGCTGGTTATGATGTTGACAGCCAAAAGGCAAAAGATATTAAATCAACTGAGCAAACTGCTTGATGCTCCACAAGTGTTTTAGAAAACAGTGAATTAGAAAAGATGCAGACGTAATCCTGTTGTTGGATGGTTGTTTTTGTTGTTGTTGTTGTTTTTAATTTGAGACTATTGGTTCTAGTAGTAGTCTTCATAGTTCTTAGGGTTCAGGCAATAAAGGATGGCACCCCCAAACGAAAATATAGTTGCACCCCAGGCCAGACCATAACCCCAATTGAACTCATGGTAAATTTTCAAGCTCACAGTTTCAATGAACTTGATTGGGTAAAGGACCAGGCTGCAGACCTGTAAAACAACTGAGAGAGAAACAAATCAACATAAAAGTAAAAAATATAAAGCATTGGTTATTCTAAATAGTATACTTTAAGATATCCAACAGAACTTTTCTTGCTTAAATATTTTTGTACAACAATTTAAGAATTACCCTGTTAATAATTAGTAAGTCATTGCTGGTATTTGATGAGATAATTAGTACAATATAATAATTTATATAAGCACATAAAGTAATGATTCTCTTTTAACAAACTCATACATTGTTATCAGTACTACAGCAAGTAGCATGAGTTAAGCTTAACTGTTCCACTACACAAAATCTATAAATAGCTCCCCAAAGAATAGTGACCCCAATACCAAATAAAGTCCTTGCTTTTTGTTCATGCTCCTGAGGAAGTGGAGAATTCAAATTAATTTCTACTGATGAAACTGGTCAACTTGTGATTCAAGATGTGCTTCGTTCTTGCTTCATAATACCATCTAATTCAGCCCAACATTCCAGAAAGTCCTACCTGGTGTCTGCTTGTATTACTCGGACCCCAAACTACTTTCACTCTTTTCCTCTCATCTAGTTCATGCCTCTCATCTTTAAAAACAGGCTCAAGGGGTCAGCAAATGGTGTGCTATTTAAGGCGTGGGATTCCCACATGGTCAACCAAGGTTTGATTCCCAAACCGGGCATCTTGAAAATCATGCTGGGTGCATGTGTGTGCATCTGTAGAATCCCAAGAGAAGAATGAAGGAGAAGGAATTGAAACAAACAAACAAACAAACAAACAAAAAATCAGGCTCAAAAGTCCTCTCTGTTAAGAAGCCACAACCAATAAGACCCCCCTTCTGTGAGATTCAACAGACAATATTTACATAGCTACTTCCCACCTACTTTCAAAGAAGAAGTTTAAGTCAATAGTGGCATGGGAGATGGCATACTGGAAACCTAGGTAATGATGGCTACAAAAACGAAGTTCCTAGTTATAACTTAGTTCTCAGTCAGGACTAAAGGGGAAATGTGATGAGTCATACCTAATAAAATAAACCAAACGAATTAATCAGGAAGGGGAAGTTTGTTTTTGTTTAACTATCTGAAATTAATGTGGTAATTATCCTGTGGTTATTTTTAAATGTGAGAAACTGGAATATACAAGAGATGACGTCTTCCACTTAAGATTTATAACTTCCTATTGGATCAATTACTACATAGTTTGTAGTTTATTTAAATCCCTTTAAATAAAATACAGGGATTTATGGGATGGATCTGCTTCATTTTTGACAAAATGAAAGGTTTTACCCTCAAGAAATAGGCAATTTTCTCCCTAAAAAGTCTGGAATATATATATATATATATATACACACACACACACACACACACTATATATATATAGCGGGAGTTGATAAACTACCTGATGTGATCTGCTAGTTTTTAAACAATGAAACAATGATTTATTGGAATACAGGTATGCTCATTAATTTATGCACTGTCCACACAACAGAGTTGAGGACTTGCAACAGAGACCATATGGCCCACAAAGCCAAAAGTATTTACTTTCTGGCCCTTTACAAACAAAGTTTATCAATCCCTGCTCAGTGATGTAAGTTTTGGGTTAAAATGTTTATTGTTTAATTCATCTTAAAAATACTGTAAATTCTTGAAGTACAAAAATAAAATCATGAAAAATTAAGGGAAAGGAGAAAAGAACAAACTTTGACACAGTCAAAAGTACATATATTGTTGTTTTGTTTTGTTTTAGAGAGATTTTTGCCGTAGGGCATGTGCACTTGCGGGAGAGAAAGAGAGAGACAAAGAGGTAGAAAGTGAGAAATCAGTCCCCAGAAAGATGATCAGATGAGGTGTGTGTGGAGGAGTGTGGCCTAACAAAGGACATTTGGAGAAGGGATACGGAGGTAGAGCATTGACGGGATGGGGAGGTGTGGCGTTATCGGTTGAAGATATTTTGATCAACGGGACTGGGGAGAAATGTTCACATATTGAAATGCTCACATTGTAAGCTAAACAATGCGATTGAATGGAATGTATATACAAAAATAAATAAATTTATAAAAAAATAGATAAATAAAATGTGGCATAGTCATACAAAAAAAAAAAAAAAAAAGAAGAAAGAAAGAAAGATGACACCCAACAATCCCTTATCCTCCATTCTCCTCTTGGGATTTTGCGCCTCCCTGGATATACACACACATACACACACACGTGCCTGGTGTGTTTGAAGCGCAGTTGACTATGTGGGTGTCCAGCAACGTAACCATTACACTATCTGCTGATCCCTATATATATTTTTGATATACTTTATTAGTTAAAAAAATAAGCAATAGGATGGATATTGTATCTAATTAAACTGGAATTTTATGTTTTAAAATCTACGCTCCTTGATATTAGCAGATGGCATAATGGTTACATCACTGGAGTCTCACGTAGTTGCCTGTGGTTCAAGTCCCAGATCTGGAGGCTTGAAATTCATGCTGGGTGTTGAGTGTGTGCATGACCAAAATCCCAAGAGGAGAATGGAAGAGAAGGATTGTGGCTTGGCCATCTCTCTGGGCGGGGGAGAGATTTCTCACTTTCTGTCTCTCTGTCTCTCTGGTAAGTGCACATGATCTATAGCAAAAATCTTTTTAAAAAAATCTGCTCTCCTCTATTGTCAGCACCTGTAAGAGATCATTATTATCAGTAAGATTAATGTTCCTATAAAGTCTACATAACAGTCTCTGTCCCCAGCATACAATTGATAACAATAGCACATTCATGATGGTATGGTTCTCTAAAACCTTTACTTTCTTTAAAGTTTTGACTAGGGGTCAAGGGATTTTCCTGGAATGAGATATAAGAATTCCAAACATCTTTGCCCTGTAATTCAACACTGCTCTAAGGCAGCGCCGCCCTACCATCCTGTTACTACTGAGAGTAGATAAACAGACACATAGGATCACATAAAAGGAGAACCTCTCAACTCAAAATAGATATCACACATTTTAGTTTAAATCTGAGAAAATGTTTTAGGTCATTGGTAGGACTCAGCTGAAAGCATATTATATAACCCATATTTCATCTATTTCCAACCAGTAAATGCTAAAATGTATAGTAACTTTAAAAAAAAATTCAGCTGGCTCTGTGCTTTTGTGAAGAAAAGGAAACTTTCATGCTTTAAATATCTTCAAACTAACAAGCAGCCAATTACTATCAACCATGAACTACAGAAGAAAAAAGAATCTAGTTATGAAGTACTTTTAAAAAAAGCATTTTTCCTTAGGTTTCCATCCTTTGGTTGCTAGTTAAATCATGGCTGATCTTGCCAGGATATGACTGTAGTACACGAACGTTAGTTACCTACGGCAACTCATTTACTCATTCAACAAAGCCATGCATTCAATCAATATGTGAATGTTTCTAAAGTGATACAGTGTAAAGGATTATTGGTATTGAAAGGGACAATCTTGTCTCTGTCACAGGTAGGCAGTCCAGTAGTAAATAAATACAGAGTATAATGGTAAGTATGGTTGAGATATGAAAACCCAGGAAAGCAGGAAAAGATAGGGATGAAGGTTGCTCTTGAAGATCGATGGCAGGAGAAGGCGTCCATGGGGAAGTGAATATATGAACATAGATCTGAATGAACTCAGGTGCAGGTTATAAGACAGTAGGTGAATATTTCAGGTGGAGGGAATGGACAGTGCAAAACTCTTAGCATGGGAGCACATATGGTGGACTGGAACATCAGTAAGAAGGCTGAGGGCATAGCACAGATAGCAGAGAAAGAGAGAAACGTGGGATGAAACCAAAGAGACAGCAGGACCCAGAGGATTCATGGATGGCCTCATGAACCATGGTTAGGGGGCCAGGTTTCATTATACATGTGACAGGCAGTTGCTGGGAGAGTATAAGCAGAGAAGAATTAATCTGAATTATATCCTAAAAGGATTCCACTATTGCTTTTGTGAACTGGTCAGTTTCTGGAGTGAGGTGGCTATCTAGGCTGCATTTAGAATTCATTTCAATGTGTTTTATTTAGCAAATATTTGGCCTCCATGGTATAATATAATGACATAATTTCCTTCTAATGGAAAAGTGGAACTACAGCTCCATTAGGCTCCATTGGCATACTCTCCTCAACAGCTTTCTTAGACCTTTGTTGTACTGGAGCAGGGTGAAAATTACCCAATAATGCTTTATGCCTCTAAATTATTTTGCTCTCTTTAGAATCACAGGGAAAAATATACATATAATAACAAAGTTGAGGGAAAAATATAATCCTGTATTACAAATAATTTTTTGCACTTAATAAAACATATAGATGCAGGTAAACTGCTTCTTTGAAGCAAAAAGAAAAGAAAAACAATCCTAGAGTTTAGAAGTTAGGAAAATGTCACAATACTTTATTTCTATTTTACCATCAACCAATGAAATACAATAGGCACAGGCTGTGGTATTTTCTATGCTCTGCCTCAGAGACAGTATAGGTAAGTTATGGAGAATTTTAGAATTTGAAGGGAATGTGAGGTTTGTTTTATGTCCCCCCCCTCCCCTCCACCCAAACACTGTTTTGAAAAGAGGCAACAAAATTGCCAACCACAAAATTGTATTCATAGAGCCATGATAAGAATTAAAGGTACTAATTCTTGTGGGGTGTTTTTTTCCTGCTTTTAAGAGGTTATTTTTCAACCTTTTCAATATTTAATGCTAAGTGAGGCAAGCCAGACTATGAAATAAAGGCATTATATATTGGATTGCTGGCCAAATATCCATGAACAGATGGACTGAAAAAGTGTGGCACATATACTCTATGGAATACTATTTAGCAATAAAAAACAACAAGACCCTGGCATTTGATAGAAAGTGGTCGAATATGGAAGAGTGAAGTGAGCCTGGCTATGAAAGAAATGTATTGTATGAATACACTTAATATATGCCAATTATCCACACTCTATGGTAAAGATTGAAATTTTGAAGGACATAAAAGCAGTGAAAATAGTTATGAACATTGAAGACAGAGTGGATGGGGAGGGTGGA